CTGCTCAGGTGCCCAGGGCATCTGCTCCTGCAGCTGCTGCCCTGTCACTCTTTCCCACCATCAGCCAGTGGGGCCTTGTCCTGGAACCCCAGAATCCAGAGGCTGGTAGGTCCTCTGCCGGGGATGCTGCTTCAGAAGAGGCTGGGGCCTGAGCTTGCAGTGCGCAGGCATCTTGCTTAGTTGGTGCTCCCTGCACAAGGCAGGTGGTGGGGATCCTCCTCTCTCTGCTAGGAGGGGTGCTGGTCTCATAGCCGCCACCTCCAGCCTCTAGCCCAGGAGGGAGCTTTATGTGCACTTGGACTATGGTGTTGGAGAAGACTCTTGAGCATCTCTTGGACTGCAAGGATATCAAACCAGTCAATCCTAAAGGAAATCAGTCCTGAATATTCATTGAAAGGACTGATGCTGAAGCTGGAGTTCCAATACTTTGGCCACCTGATGTGAAGAACTGACTCATTGGAAAAGACCCTGACACTGGGAAAGACTGAAGGCAGGAGGAGAAGGGGACGACAGAGGATGAGATGGTTGGATGGCATCACCGACTCAATGGACATGAGTTTGAGTAAGCTCTGGGAGTTGATGATGGACAGGAAAGCCTGGCGTGCTGCAGTCCCTGGGATCACAAAGAGTCGGATGCAACTGAGCGACTGAATTGAACTGACTGACTGTTCATGCGTTACCGTCAAGATGAATGACTCCTCTCTCTGAGATGCTTGCAGTCCCAGGTGTGGCTGTGACCTCCCCTCTCTTTTTCATGGTTGTTCTCTCTCCATCCTGTGTTCCTCCCTCTTTTGGGGCCTCAGATCTCAGGATGGTCACTCCATCTGGACATCCTCATCTGTGAATCAGTCTTTCAGGCACGGAGACAGCAGGGCCTCCTCCTCTCAGGGTGGAGTCTCTTCCATCAGTTGGCAGGCGTTGGAGATGGACCTACTGTGTGCCCAGCTTGGCCACTGTGGGGGTAAAAGAACAGAAGGCAAGTGCAGCCCAGGAGCTTAAAATGTACTTGGGGTCCTGGATGAACGGTGAGGACATGATGTTAAGTGAAGTAAGCTAATCACAAAAAGACAAGTACTGTATATCACACTTGTGTGAGGTACTTAGAGTCATCAAAATCATAGACAGAAAATAGAAGAGTGGCTGTCGGATCTGGGGGAGGGGAAAATGGGGAGTTATTGTTCAATGGGGATAGACTTCCAGTTTTTCAAGATGAAAGGAGTTATGGGGATGGGTGGTGCTGATGGTTGCACGATGTTATAAGCATCTTTAGTACCAGTGAACTGAACACTTAAAGTGGTTAAGGTGGGAGATTTTACATATGTGCACTGTGCCACAATAAAAATGTTTTGAAAACAAATCTTTCTTGGGGAGATCTAACATTCTCTGGATGTAAGAGAGTGATGACAAAACAGTGGTCTGCTCCAAGTAAGCTGAGTTTGTAAGACCATCCCGGAGGAAGGCGTGAGCTTCACTCTGGGTATTGTCTCAGACATGTGCTTTGGAAGCAGGGTTGGGTTTGTTTGATTTTTTTTTTTTTTTGACCTTTGCTTTAGAAGTCGTTTGGAAATGCTACACTTACTGATAATTATCTTTGATGCCTGGGAAGGGTGTCGTGAACAAGCCAGTTGACATCTCAGGAGGATGGAAGCTGTCCTCGTGTGGGGGTTGATTAATATTAATAGACGGTGAGTTGCTCTCGTCACCTGCAATGTCAAAGGTGCATTTGAAGCGAGCAGGACACCAGGAGTTGGGGTGGGTAGGGTTACAAGGCAGCTCACAGAAGGAAAGGAGGGACTGATTCTGGAACACAAGGGGCCACCTAATTAGAGGATGTAAATCAAGCCACAGTTAATTAGTGATGTCTGCCACTGGTGGGAGACGGGGTGATCTCAGCACAGGTGCCAGTGAGGAACCACCTACAGCTGTTGGTCATGCTCAAGTATCTTTTTATTTGAATATGAGGAATCTGAAGTCCACAATGGTGAAGTAACTTCGCTGAGGTCACATGGGTCACTATGCCAAGAGGAGGACGGACCCGTGTTTGAGGAAAATGGTGATAGTCTCTTAAAGGATGAATAGTGGTGGTGGTGGGGCGGGGCGGGGACACAGTGCGACCCACAGCAATCACGGAGGAGCACGTGGGAGGCCCCTAGTAGGCCCTGACCAGGCCTGAGAGTGGGTGATGTTGGGGGCCGCTGACTCGCCTGCCTGGGGGCCCCTTGACACCCCGCCGGGCTTCCTGTGCAAGCCCAGAAGGCCTTCAGGTTACCCGGAACGCCTCACTGTGTCCTGCCAGGGCCCCTTTCCACCCCCTGGCCCCCTTTTCTAGGATGACTGCTCCCCTCCTTTCCCTCTGCTCACCTGACCCCCCGAATCCTTACTCAGGGGGAGCCCCTCTCTGTTCCTCAGGAAAGTTGCCTGTGCCCCGGTCCCACTGTGGCAGCTTGAATCAGCACACCTTTCACACTGCATTGTGATTATTTATCATGTGTGTGTCATCCCCTGCCGGTCTTTGCAGGCAAGGCCTGTGGCTTTTCCACTTTTGTATTTTCAGTGCCTGCCCAGGCCCAGGCCCAGGCCCGTGGAAAGATCTCAAAGGAAGGTTGCCTGGTGTATGAGCTCGCGGATCTGAGAAGTAACAGGTCCTGGGATAGATCATCATAAAAATAAAGCTGGGGATTCTACCAGGAATCCAACCAGAATGTCATAGCACCCAGATAAGAAAAAGCATCCAGTTCAGTGGCTTTTCACAAACTGGACACACTCAGGAAACCAGCGCCTAGCTTAAAGAACAGACATTACCAGCCCCCTAGGGCCCCCTGAGGCCCTTTTCCAGTTACTGTCTGAATTCCATCTCCATACATTAGTTTGCCTGTTCTTGAGCTTTATCTAAAATTGAATCAGAGAGTTGGCACTCTTATGGCTAGATTCTTTTATTGCACTCTGTGTTTGTGGGCTTTATTTCTATTGTTGCGTATTGTTTTAGTTTGTTTATTCTCACTGTTGTGTCATATTCCAGTACATGAACACACCACAACTAATTTGTCTATTTCAACTGTTGCTAGGCATTCCAGTGGTCTCCAGTTGGTAGCTATTATGAATGAGGCAGTGCTGTACCTCTGTGCTGTAAATGACTTCTGAACATCTGTGCACATTTTGGCTGTGTTTGTAGCTGGGAGTGGAATCCTGGGTTACAAAGCATGCACATGGTCAGCTTCAGTAGAGGTGAAAGTATTGTTTTTAAAGAGTGTGGTGATGGAAAATACACTGTGGGGGTCATGATGTTACTGAGCCAAACTTGGGTCCACTTGCCTACACACAGTAAAACCAGTATACTGATTGTGGGTCGTGATGAAGTGAAGTGAAGTGAAAGTCACTCAGTCTTGTCCAACTTTGTGACCCCATCCATGGACTATATAACTATACAGTCCATGGAATTCTCCAGGCCAGAATACTGGAGTGGGTAGCCTTTCCCTTCTCCAGGGGTTCTTCCCCACCCAGGGATCGAACTGCATTGCAGGTGGATTCTTTACCAACTGAGCTATCAGAGAAGTAAAGTGGTAAAGCAATGTGTAGCATTTATTAAGATTGCCAAGCAAAGAGTCCAGGAGAACTAGTGCTTAAAAGTCCCAACATCCCCACAGGCCTTCAGGGAAAGGATTTTAAAGACAGAGTGACACAGGGGGGTTGTGAACTGTGGGATCAGCTCGAAGACATTCTTGTGATTGGTTGGTGGTGAGGTAGTTGGGCGTCAGCATCACCAGCCTTCTGGTTCCAGCCCATCTGGAATCTACATGCTTGTGGTCAACATGCAGTTAATATCTTCCACCTGGTGGGGGTTAAGTGTCTGCAGAGCTGCTCGAAAGACATGATTCAGAAGATTATCTATAGACCTTGAGGAAGAACTAAAGGTCCTAGCCTTTTTTTTAATGGCTAAACTACTATTATTTTATCTTGCTTGCCTTTTCCTTTGTTTCTGCATTTTCTCATTTCTCTGATTAAATTTACTCTTTGGAACTTGGGAAAGGCCTCGGAGGCTAAATTCTTTCTACAGACAAGAGGCAGGGGGAAGAACATAGAAGGGGGTTAGGTCTGTTCCGGGAAGGCCCCATAGGGTCCTGCTTGGTTTCAAAGAGGGATGGTGGCATCCAGAGGGAAGACAGGGAACTGGCAAACTTGTGGCAGAGATCATCAGCCAAAGGGCAGAGAAGCCAGATTTCAGATGCTGGGTCATGTCTGTGAGGTGAGCCTCATAGGGAGCATCAGAGGATAAGGACCAGAGTGTTAGAGAAGCTCCTTTGCTGGAATTGTTGGTCCGTGGGGGCTTCCTGTGCTTCCCTAGTTGTTCAGCAGTAAAGAGTCCACTTATGATCAAGGAGATGCGGGTTCATCCCTCAGTCAAGAAGATTCTCCGGAGAAGAAAATGGCAACCCACTCCAGTGTTCTTGCTTGGAGAATCCCATGGACAGAGGAGCCTGGCGGGCTACAGTCCCTGGGGTCACAAGAGTTGGACATGACTGAACTAAACCTCCATCACCTTGGGGGCTCCTTGATGCTGCCTGATTTGGGGCTATGGGGCTTAGTTCCAAAGGAAGTCATCCTCCCAGCAGGCCTTCCTGCATGCCTGGCTCCACAGACTCCCTGCCTGGGGAGACGCCCCACCATCAGACTGGCAGTGCTGGAGGCAGCTCATCAGTGCAGAGACTCTGAGGAGAGAGCCATGGGCTGGCACGGCAGAGCCCTGGGGTTCCGGGTACCCGACCACGCAGCCCTGCCAAACACTGTCGAAGTGAGGACCTGTGCCTGGGGGAGTCCAGGGCCCCCTCTAAGTCGTACACGCTGCGTATACCCGCCGGGACCCTTCAGCAGCCCCCTCCAATGTCCAAGCTGCTCAAGGGGACGGGGGTCTGCCACCCTCTCTGGGATTGGGCCTTCTGCCTCCTTGTTCCATGTCCTGGCCGGGCAAATAACACCCCCCTTTCATCCTCTGTGTCTTCCAGAATGGCAGCAAAGACACCTCTCTGGACATGCTGGGCACAGATATCTGGGCTGCCAACACCTTCGATTCCTTCAGGTTCGCTCCTCTTCCTCTTGCTGTGTGTGTGGCTCCAGCTGGGACCCCAGCTTCCTGGTCCTTATTCCCTGAGGGCCCCACCCTTTCGGGGCCAAGTTCACGCTGAGCGTTCACAGGGGGGTGAACTAGAGAGGATGAGGCTGGAGGAAGGAGGTGAGAGAGAGAAGGAAGGAGACAGCTGGGATGGCGTCCAAGGGAAGGAGAGGAGGAGATGACAAGAGAAAATAGAGTGCAAAAGGCAGAGAAAAACAGATGCCACCAGTGCGACCCCAGGGAGAGAGGGTGGGGAGGTGGAGGACAGGAGAATGGCATCTGGGGCACGTTAGACAAGCCAGGGTGGAGCAAGGGCTGCTGCGGAGAGAGGTCCAGAGAAAAGGAAGGATTGTTGATGCTTCCAGCTCTAGGGGGTTTCTGATGAGCCACGCTGCAAGGGCAGGCATTGGCCAGACTTCCTGAGGCCGTGGGGTTGGTGCCCCCGAAGGGTTTGCTGATGACCCCCTGTCGTGGTAGCCGTTCCTTTTGGGAGCCTCAGGCCACGGATGGCCCTTTAGCTCAGCTGTGCCCCCGGCCCCGGAGCTGCTCAACTCTGGGTGTGCTCCAGGCGCACCCTGGTTCCGGCTTGCTCAGCATGGAAGCGCCACCCGTCTCCCCCCGAGACTGGTACTCAGGGGATTTGGCCCCCTGCTTCCCCACTGACAGATTCAACCCCAGACTTTCCAGTCTGGGGGAATCAGACTTTCCAGACTTTTAGGGGGACCACTGAGAGCGGGGGTCAGGCCCACACTTGTGTGTTTTATAGGCATCCATTATCTCAGAGTAGGGTTAAAGAAGAGGAAGGCTTCGTAGGCAGGCCCCTGCCCCATGATCTGTGAGCACAGGGCTGACGTGCCAGGCTCCATCCCGAGTGAGGGGTCCCCGCCTGGCCCTGCCCGTGGTGGGTGGGCGCCTCCCCTTCCTGCCCACCCCTTTCTGAGCTGCTTCCCTGCCTGGTGCCTCCCCCAGTGTCCCCCGGGGCGTCTCATCTCCATCACTAACGGGACGTGTCCCCTTTCTCGCCCTCTAGTGGTGCCACCTGGGACCTGCAGCCTGAAAAGCTGGACTTCACCCAGTTCCACCGGAAGCTTCGACACACACCCAAGCAGTCCCTGCCACACATCGACCGAGAAGGGTAAGAGGCAGCCAGGGGCTCTCACAGAGCGGCCAGAGAGGCAGGGCACAGCCGTGTCCCGCCAGGAGCTGGGGGTGCGGTGGCCTTTCCCTGGCAGGCTGATGCCCAGAGAGGCTCACTGGCTCAGACCTGCAGTTTCACTGGCCTCCCCCTGGAACCCCCCCAACCCTTCACTGCCCAGCCCCCTCGAGCCATACTGCTCCCCTTCCTGACCTCTCACAGTGACCCTGTTTGGCTGTGGTCCAGCGCAGTGGGTGAGACCCAGTGATGGGAGTGGAGATCGCTGGGTCCACCCCCACGGTCTCAGGTTCGGGGGGTCTGGGGGTGGGAGGGCCTGGGGGTTTGCATGTCTAAGGAGTCCTCAGGAAATGCTGCTGCTGCTCCCCCAGGGGCCCCACTCTAAGAACCACTGGGGTCACTGTTGCTTTTACAGGATGCGACAAATGCAAAAAATGTTGCTTTTATTCAGTTGTCTCCTTAGTTCATGCATCAGTGTTTACTTGTGCTTTGAAAGATGGTTTCAGGGACTTCTGGGCAGTTTGGTGGTTAGGACTCCGTGCTTCCTCTGCAGGGGAAACGGGTCAGATCCCTGGTCCAGGACTTAAGATCCTGCATGCTGTATGGTGCAGCCAAAAAAAAAAAAAAGATGGTGTCAGGGCCTGGGCTGACCTCTGGACAGGAAAGTGACTCCAGACGGACATGGGAAGGGGGGCGGGGGGTGGTGTGTGAGACAGATGGTTTCTTTTCTTCCTGAATTTTAAAATAATTTTTGTTGTTGCTCCGTCGCTCAGTTGTGTCTGACTCTTTGCAACCCCATGGACTGCAGCACGCCAGGCTTCCCTGTCCATCACCATCTCCCATAGCTTGCTCAAACTCATGTCCATTGAGTCATTGATGCTGCCCTAAAATACACATAACATAATTTTAACCCTTTGAAGGTATTAAACTCAGTGGCAATTAGTACACTGATAACGCTGTGTAACCACCACCTCTCTGTAGTTCCCAAATTAGATGGTAATCCTATGTTTGAACTTCCTGAGGAACAGCTAAACTGTTTTCCACAGCAGCTGAATATTTCACATTGCCAGCAGCAATATGCAGGGGATCCGATTTCTCTACATCCTCAGCAACACGTGCTGTTTTCCATTTTTTTTTTAAGTCAACTCATGGCTTTTTATGTTTTCCTTCCAGTCCTTTCCCATCCACCCTTGTCTCCCTGTCACTTCAGATCTAAGTATAACTGACATTCTGGGCTACATTCCTGCATCTCGCCTGTCCCACCGCTGACTGCCCACCCCACCCACCCCAGTGGTCAGCCCCCTCTTGGCAGTGGTCTCCCTGCAGTGTCGGTGACAAAACCTGGGAGGGACACGCTTGCATCCTTATTTCAGAGATGAAATGCAGCTCAGAGAGGCCCAGTAACCTGCCCAAGGAGCAGAACCGTGATTTAAGCCCCTCTGATAACCATCCAGTACTCAGGCTCAAGGATACAGTCGTATCCTTGAATCGGCTTGATCCCCTTAAGTTTTTATGTAAAATGACATGCATGTGTGTATTTTGGGGGCAGAGGCCCAGCACTCGTATCAGACTTTCCCAGGGGACCCCGTCCTCTCCCCTTTCCTGCCCCTGCTTGTGTGGGTTCTATATGAACTTTTGGGATGATTTTTGGGGATCAAGAGAGGAGATGCTCTTGAACACTGAGGCCTCCTGTTAGGAGGAGATAGTGCCAAGCAGAGACCCAACCGCTGGGCTTCCTCAGCCCTGCCTCACTCACACCCGGCCATCCGTCCTCCCGCTCACCGTCCCCTCCGTCCTCCCCCTCGGCAGCGCTGAGGGCATTTTCCTCCTGAGCTGCCGACTGCACAGGGCTGGGCCCTCCAGGCTTCTGAGTTTAGGAAAGCTGACCTTTGCTCAGGTCAAGTTCAGGAGCTGGTTTTCTGCAGAAGTGATGCTCCCGCTTGCCCTGAAATGGGGGTCGGTTGGAGCTTGCAGTGTGCGTTGGGAAAGGAAGGAGCAGTTTGCACCTCTGAAGCCCGGTCACAAGGCCGGCTGGGTCCCCAGTGGTGAGGAACACTCACAGTATACAATATGGTCCCTTCCCAGAAGTATTTTTATCCACTCTACTGTTAAAAGGAGACATGAGCCCATTCATAATTGAGACTGTGCTTACACACTCAGAGTCCACGGTATGAACTAAGGGCCAGGTGTGAGTTAAATAAAGGAAATGCAGAGTGGGGCAGAGAAGCCAGCGGTGAAGCGGGGGTGATGCACAGTCTGGTCTGGGGAAGGCTTCCGAGAGAGGTGGCATTTCTCTGGGAAGTGCCCATCTGTCCTCTTTCTCCTGGGAGCACATGGATGGTGAAACCACTGGGGAAACTGAGGCCCAGAGGACAGAAGTGATGAAACCGCCTCATGTACTGGGAGTGTCTAGTGGGGATCAAGTGGTGAAGTCAGGTTTTCCGAAGATGTCTGCACCTTACGAATTAACATCCTAACAAAATACGATTTGGCAGCAGTGACAAATGACTGTCCAGGGAGAGAAAGGTTCCCCTTTTGCTGAGGGCCCTTGTCCCTTCTGGATCTGGAGGAACCGGCCACACCCACTCATCACCAGGCTTACTCACTGGGAGGAGCCGCCCAGATTTGCTGACAATCTCCCCAACCCCTCACCAGACACCTGGGGTGGGTGTGTGTGTGCGTGTGTGTGTGTGTGTGTGTGTGTGCATGCATGAGCGACACCTGGTGTGTGTGTGTGTATGTGTATGCACACACACACTCTCAGTCATGTCTGACTCTGCGGCCCCATGGACTGTAGCCCACCAGGCTCCTCTGTCCATGGGCTTTCCCAGGCAAGGATACTGGAGTGAGTTGCCATTTCCTCCTCCAGGGGATCTTACTGACACAGGGAGCGAACCTGCGTCTCTTGGGTCTCCTGCTTTGGCAGGCAGATTCTTTACCACTGACTCTGGGGCCAAATCCCATCTCTCTTGGGTTGCTGGGGAGTTTGGGTGCAGCGCCCTGTGGCCACTTTGTGGCTGAGCCAGCAGCCGTGTTTCCCCCTTAGGGTCTGGCAGTCCTGGGGGTGCACTCGACATGCCCAGCCTCTGCAGCAGCCCTTGGAAGTAAGGTACCACCCGGTTGCCAAGGCTTCCCGCAGCCCGCGTTTCCATGGAGGGACAGAAATCAGAGAAGGCTGTTGCCTTGGAAACCCTGTTGGCAGCAGTGACTCAGCTGGTCTGTAGCCACCTTAAGACCTCCTCCAACCTGCCGGCCCTGCAGGGAGTTCTGAGCCCCAGACCCCGCAGGGCCTAGGGAGACAGCAGTCCTCCCTGCCGACTGGACCCTAGAGGCTGCTGAGGTGAGAATATAAGGCCCAGCCGAGCTAGGCAAGTGTCTGAGGGGGACTGGAGTCAGACGTGCGTCCCTGCGCACGTGACCTGGGGGAGGGGGGTCAGCCATTCCCCGGCGGCCAGAGTCCCCGGTTCTCTCCTCCTGCGTTTCACGACTCACAGGGAACACAGGTGACTGCGCGCCATCGGTGCCTTCGCGGGCCAGCCTGTTTCTACCGGGCAGATGTGTTGGCTGAAAGGCGTGCTTCCAGACCTCTCTCCAGCTCTGCAGTCCTGCACCATCACCCCCAGGGTGGGACCGGAAGGGGCACGAACGTCCCCTCACACCCCTCTGCCACCCCAGCTGCACCGGCCAGGACCCGCGCTGTGCTTCCAGGGCCGGCCCTGCAATTCTCTTGCCCCTGGGCCCCTCCCTTGCCCCCCACCCACCTCCCGCTAGAACCTGGACCTTGCTGGCTGCACGCGGTGTTTTCCTCCAGGCCTCTGCCTGGGACGTTCTCCCAGATGCTCTGCTGGGCCAGCTGGCCTCCCAGCTCCTCTCCCTCCGCCCCCGGCCGCTCTGGGCGCTGCTCCTCTGAGCCCCGCCGCGCCCACCCTGCTCCTCCTGCCGGCCTGTGACCCCGGCGGCCCAGCCCGAGACAGAGCCCCCAAGCCCCAAAGCGTGTGTTGATGGGGGCGTCGGTCATATCCCCCGCCCCTTGCCCCCTCTGACCTCCCCTAAGCCCTGCTGGGTTTTGCCGCCACCCCCGGTTTCTCTTCCTTGGGGATCCAGGGCCCCTCTGTCCGTAGGACTTTGATAACACGTATCTCGTGCTGCCCCCTGCTGGTGCTCAGGCTCAGCGCCCTCTTAGTCCGAATTGAGGACTCCTTGGCCAAGAGCTGTGAGCTGTCTGAAGGCAGGAACCACGTGGGATTTATTTTCCACGACCCCAAGAAAGGTTGGCAGATCCCCAAACACAAGAGATGCTGGGGAAATATTTGATCATATAAACTAATTACTCTGACATTTAAGAGTTGCATTAACTGCAGTTGGAAAATGCTGCCACCAGCCCATTGGGCAGCTCTTGCCACACCCGGGCTAATAATAATACATTTCTCTGGTGCCTCAGTGGTAGTAAAGAACCCGCCTGCCAATGCAGAAGGTTCAGGTTCGATCCCTTGGTGGGGAAGATCTCCTGGGGAAGGAAATGGCAACCACTCCAGTATCCTTACCTAGGAAATCCCATAGACAGAGGAGCTTGGTGGGCTACAGTCTACCTGGTTGCAAAGAGTCAGACACGACTTAGTGAGAAAATAACTGCAGTAGCAGTAACTAATACTCACTAGGCTCTGAGCATACACCAATCCCATTCTAACTGCTTGCTGCCCATTGTCTAAACTCAGCACAGTTTCAGGAGGTAAGAACTGTTATTATCTTCACTTCAGAGGATGAGAAACTTGCAGAAAAATTGAGTAACTTGCATGAGGCTATGCTGGCTCTAGAATCTGTGCTGTTGTTAGTCACTGCGCTGCTACTCAGCCCCGGTAACAATAATAACAAAGGACAGTAACAGTGGTAGCAGTATTCCTAGTAGCACTAATATTTTTACCTTGTTATTTTATTATAATTTTACTTAATTATTGCCTATATTTACTGTTACAATATATTCTCTACATGTACATTTATAATAGTGTTTACTGTATGCTGGGCACAGTTCTAAGCACTTCAATATATTAACTATGACTTAATCCTCCAACTGCCATATGATGTTAGGCTCTAGTAATTATCCCCATTTTACTAATGAGAAAACCTAGGTACAGAGAGAGACAGTGACTTGGGCAGCGTCACCCAGTTAGTAAGCTATGCCGCTGGGGCTCCAACTCCTGAAGTCCGGTTCCAGGGTCTACACCTTTAAATATGGGGAAGACATGGACTTTGGCCAGTGAATCCAGGCCAGCACCTCTAGCCTGGAGGTGTGCCCACCCACAGCAGACGTGCAGACAAAACCGGATTGCTCGACTGGCCCAGAGGTGGGCCCAGGAGGGAGGAAGCCGAATGGGGGCCTGTGTAACCTCAAGAAAGTTGCTCGGTCTGTCTGTTCATTTGCTTTCCCTTTGGTGTAACTGGGCAGGATGATGGGCTTTGCAGGATTTGGGATACACTTTGGGGCATTCATTGGCAAGGAGTTCAGCATCTTTGGAGAGACCGAGGGGAACTCTGGTACCCTTCACCTCCCTAGGGGTGGGATGTCATGATAGTGCCTCCACCCCGCCCCCAGGCCCCACATTCTTGCCTGCATCGAGTCCTTTGTTCTCAAGGAAGGTCTGTGTCCCCAGGTCTGAGGTAGGAGGATGTCGTTTCCTCCAGGCAGTACGGGCTGATTCTGCAGCCTTGAGAAGAGCAGGACAGGGTCTTTCCTGATCATCATTGCTCTTCCTACTTGCTGGGCTGGGACATGATGCTTGAATGAGCTGTCCTTTCAATGCCATTATGTCTTTTCTGGCCCAGGTGTGGAAAAGGGAAGCTGGAAGATGGGGATGGAATCAACCTGAATGACATCGAGAAGGTCCTTCCAGCCTGGCAGGTAGGTGCAGGGGCAGCATCTCCAACAACAGCTTTCCCCCTGCCCTCAGCCTGGACAGGGCCTGAACACAGCCACTGGCCCCTGGCTTTCGCAGGGTATAGCTGGATGTACTGCAATGGTAGGTGGGCCGGGGCAGGTACCCGCCTTGGTACAGAGTGTCCCATGGTAATGTGTGTGTGGCAGCCTGTACTCAGATGCTGGGGAAGGATGGATGAAATGGCCAGTGCCCTGCAGCCCAGCAAACTGGGAAGTTTTCGTCCCTTGACCTGAAACCTCTGAGGTGAGGCAAACTGCAGTGTTCTGGTGGGACTGGCAGGGCTGCTTCAGTTTCCAGTGTGGTCAGGGCTATTTTTAGGCCTCTGAAAAGTGGAGTTGTCCTACCAGCCTCCAGGTGTCTGCTGCACTTGCTGATTTTGTCATTGATTGGACTCCTTTTCCTGAATGGGGCCAGGCTCTGGAACAAAAGGATTTACTCAGCACAGAGTCAGTGAATCAGGTCCCTAGAGGCTTCCAGTGCTGGACTTTGGGCAGACGCAGTAGGAGTGTAGCTGCTTCTGGGAAAGAGGCAAGATGTCCTGCCGAGAAGAGGAGGAGCTAGGTGACCGAGCTCCACGGTGACCTGCCACGCAATCACCACATCACCTTTTCTTTCTCTCTTCTGAGTCGGTCTTGCTATGTCACCTGCATCCATTCTTCTCTTCCCTCTCCCTTTGGTTCTTTCCCACTTTGTTGTTGAGTGATTATGGGCCTATTAACGGGAGACAATAGAATGTATAGTCAAGGCCTCAGCAATCTGACTAGAATGTGATTTGGGCTTGTTTTTCCTTGTGTTTGTATCAGTTCAGTTCAGTTCAGTTGCTCAGTTGTGTCCAACTCTTTGCCACCCCATGGACTGCAGCACACCAGGCTTCCCTGTCCATCACCAACTCACCAACTCCCAGAGCTTACTCAGACTCATGTCCACTGAGTCGGTGATGCCATCCAACCATCTCATCCTCTGTCGTCCCCTTCTCCTCCTGCCTTCAATCATTCCCCAGCATCGGGGTCTTTTCAAATCACTCGGACTTTATTGAGCTTCTTGGGTCTGTAGGTTCATAGCATTCATCAAATTTGGAAACATTTCAAACCATTATTCTCCTCACTTCCACTGGAACCCACCCACCCCCTATAATTCCGATTATATGCATGGTATGCTCCTTCATATTTTCCCATGGCTCACCAAAACTCTTCTTATTTTTTTAAAATGTACCACGCTATTTTAAATTTATTCCTTTATTTATGGCTGCACTAGGTCTTCACAGTTGTGAAAGCACAGACTTTCTCTAGTTGTGGCACACAAGCTCAATAGGTGCTCAGCCCACGGGGACTAGAGCGCGGGCTCGATAGAGGCGTGGTGCATGGGTTTAGTTAGCCCCCAGCATGGGGGATCTTCCTGGACAGGGGTTGGACCCACGTCCCTGCGTTGGCAGATGGACTATTAACCACTGGATCAACAGAGAAGTCGTCCACATTTTTTTTTAGGCTTTTTCTCTGTTTCATTTTGGAGAGTTTCTATTGCTATGTCTTCAAGTTCACTAAGTTTTTCTTGTAGTGTCTAATCTACTGTTAATCCTGTCCTGCGTATTTTTCATCTCAGACATTATATGGGTCATCTCTAGAAGTTCAGTGTGAATTTTTTTTTATTTATCTTCTATTTCTGTCCTCTTCATGCTCATGCTTTCTTGTATCTTCTTGGGCATATGGAATCTTTGATAGTAGCCGTTTTAATATCCTCTACTGATTCTGCCATCCATGATGTTTCACAGTCTGTTTCTGTTAATTGATTTTTCTCTTGAGTATGGGGCATATTTTTCCTTGCATGCTTGGTAATTTTATATTAGATGCAAGATACTAGGAATTTCACATTGTTGGGTGTTGGACATTATTATTAGTTAAAATATTTTGAACTTTATTCCAGAATACAGTTTGATAGAATAGAGTTTGATCCTTTAAAGGCTTACTTTCTAAGCTTCGTTAGCTGTGAAACCTTTAAAGCAGATTTTGCTTCACTGCTCAGTCAGTAGTCTTCTGAAGTTGCTGCTTGGTGTCTTAGGTCCTAGGAGGTATTTCCACCATGTTGGCTGGGAGTACAGACTACTTCCCTCCATGTCTGATCTTCGGGGATTATTCCATCAATTCACTGCAGGTAACTTTTCAGCAACACTGGAAGTTTCCTCACACACATGTAAAATTTGTGCTTAGCTAAAGACTAGAGTGCCTACAATTTCTGGATTTTGCTCCGTGGGCAGTTTTATCCTCTCTGGTTCTCTGCCTTCCAAATTCTGGTGGCCTTGCACTCCCTGAATTTTGAAGTCTGTCCCCTTAACTTATTGAGAGCATGGGGCTCTGTTTGGATTCCTCCCTGCCTAGTAGACTGGAAACTCACTGGGAACCAGACCTGGCACACATAGGGCTCACCTCATTATAAGGGGAAGTGTGGTGACTTTATGCTGGAGAAACCTGTCAGGCTTCAGCCTGACCAGGTGATCAGAGTTAGCATCATTGGTGTGGGATGGGTGGACACCTTGTGCCCCTGACGTGTTGCGCAGAGTCCAGCATAATTTCTGGGGTTTTCCTGCCAAGAAAATATAGCTTGCATCTGATCCTAAGGAACCAAATAGAAGGGCCATCCTTTAAAACTGCTTGGATATGAAAGACAGAGAAAGACTGAGGGGTCTTCAAGAGTGGAGGGAATTGAAGCGGCAGACACCAAAATGCAATATGTGTTCCTTTCTGAGATCCTGGGCCAAAAAGAAATAGATACCTTTTTGGACAGTGGAAGAATGTGAATTGGGGTCTGTGACAGTACTGTTTCTTAGATAGAAGTGTCCTGACTCAGGGGGCTATATGACCGTTAGATGGATGAGTGTCCTTGTTTTTGAGAAACACTCACTATGATATTTGAGGGATATGCAACTTCATGTCTGCGATACGTCCTCAAATGGTTTAGAAAAAGATGAGTCATGATGAGTATGTGGATCCACAGATGGAGGGAGCAACAAACATGGTACAGTCTTAGCGGTCTGGGAGTCTGAGTGAGGAGGATGGGGATGGGGTGGGGATGCTCGGCGTACTGTTTTTGCTCAGCCTAAGACTGAGTCACTTTCCTATGTTTGAAAGAGAACTAATTAGTAGGGCCTAGGACATGGTGTGTAGGTCAAAGGCACAGAGTATCTGCTAATGCAATACCCTCTGTACTAATGAAATGTACTCTGGCAGATCTGTACTCAATTCTCATGGTTAATATAAAGCTAACTGGTGCCAAAGACAAAAGGTAAAATACTCAGAAATCATTGCTTTATCACTCTGTTCTTAAATGCCTATGGTGCCCATTATTGATAGAAAAAATACATTTTCAAGACACTGATGTAGGTGAGGAGAGGTGAGGAGCGCCCCCTGCCCTAGGAGAAGTGTTGAGCCCTCAGTGGCCTTTGAGCCAGACGCCTGGGGCATCCTGGAAGTTAGAGGTGTGACCGCACCCCCTGTTCGGGGACTGTTTGCCGGCTCCTTGGGGAGCGGAGTAGAGGGCCTCGCAGTCCTACTGGAACAGAGAGGAGAGCTGGGCGCGTACTTGGGGATGGGGAGGTGCAGAGGATGCAGAGGTGAAGGGCTTGGTGTCTGGACCTCATGGAATCCTGGCCACGCCACTGAGCAGCCACGGAGTCAGGCTGGTTACTTCCGCTGCTCTGCCTGTCTCCTCCTGTGTAAAACAGGATAACGAGCGTTGACTGCCTAGGGTTGTCCAGAAGGTTGAGCACGTGAATTCACCAGAAGCTCTGAGAGCACTGCCTGGCACGTAGGAGGGGCTCCCTCTGCTGGTGGACAGGCTGTGGGCCCTCCTTTGTTAGGTCCCCCCACCCAGTGTATGCATTTGTCCTGAGTGGCCTGCCAGGGAGAGCCGACGCACTGCATCAGAGGTCAAGAGACTCGCTTTCAAAGCATCTGCCACAGACGTGCCGCATGACCTTTCCTCCACGGGCCTTGGTTTACTCACCAGGAAAATGACGCAGTTGGATTAGATCAGAGGTTTGCAAACTGTAACGCTCTGGGGTTTTCCAGAGCTGTCTCAGCGGCGCTGCTGGTCGGGGGAGCGGGGCAGCTGAAGAAGCCAGCTGCAGGGGACCCCCGCTCAGCCCCACCCAGAACGGCTCTGCCCGTGTCTCTAAGCGGGTCTTCTATGAACGGTTTCATTTGAAGAAATGGCTCCCTACTAAGCAGATTTTAAAAATCATCAGACTAAGGTCTCGCTCAGGTTTCACATCCTAGGGTTTACCCTCTCTCAGGAACAATCCATCAACAAGCATTCTTGGTCTCCACGGCCCTTGTGGGACATAACCTCTTAGAGGTGCCGGCGTGGAGGTCTTCACCTCTCGTCTCCATTGCGGGTCAGGATCCACACAGTGGACGGGCTTTGATACTCGCAACTTACCTACACCACCCCCCCACACACACACACCATACACTACACACACCACCCACACCACACACCACAACTTACCTACACCACACACACACACACACACACATCATACACCACACCACATCATACACCACACACATCACCCACTCCACACACCACAACTTACCTACCCCCCCCACACACACACATCATACACCACACCACACCATACACCACACACATCATATACCACACACCACAACTTACCTCCACCACACACACACACACGCACACACACATCATATACCACACACATCACCCACACCACACACCATAACTTACCTATACCACACACACACACACATCATATACCACACACATCACCCACACCACACACCACAACTTACCTCCACCACACACACACACACACACACACACACACACACACACCATACACCACACACATCACCCACTCCACACACCACAACTTACCTCCACCACACACACACACACACACACACACACACCATATACCACACACATCACCCACACCACACACCAC